GTTCATTCCCATGGGGGTGTTATAGTCCCAATTAGGATTAATAGTGGAGACTGTGTTTGGGCCCAAGTGATTGCCCTGAGGGCTTTAGGTGAATAAATCATCTGCTTGCCCATGGGTGGCCTCAAAGATTTGATCTTTTTTCCAAGGGGGTGCAACAGGTTGCTAGAATGAATTGAATATCTCTCCATGAGAGAGCAAAGGCTAAGACCAAAGTTTGAAAAGCTGAAAATTTCCTGGGATTCTTGAAATAGCTTTCTAGCTTTTCCTTACATTGTTGTATATCAGTTATAGAGAAGGGGACCTGCACTAGTACTGGTCCCTCAACTACAGCTACTTCCCTAAGGAGTAGCAGGGCTGGAGGGAGAGTTAAATACAGTTTTCCCCTTCGAGTGTGAGAGGGACTTAGTAGGGTTCCCAGTGTTTGGAGTTTAGTCTCAAGAGTACTTGGCAAGGGGCTATATGGAGGCAGTTGCTGTTCACACTGAGAGACAGACTTTCTTTTAAGGGGCTGGATCTGGGAGTTTTGCAGATTGTTAGGTTTTGGTATAGGGTTGTGAAGATCTGTACATAAGGGATTTCTGACCATTTGACCTGCATCTTGCAAAATACGTCTGATTGCAGGATGGTGTCACGATTAAGACTACCATTGACTGCACATTGTTCCAGTCTGGGCAGCTCATATTGGGGCCAAATAGTGTTGCAGAAAAAAAAAATGTTTTCTCTTTAGACTATCAGGGTCAAATTGATTCCTACGGTGGAGGATGCAGCCAAGTAGGGAATCAGGTGGAATAGATGGAGAATTGCCCATAGTGGTCTGGAAAAGAGAGTAGGACTTTAAATAGTGGAGGGTTTATCAACTGACCCAAGTGATGCCTGAGACATCGTCCTGGAAAAATTCTGGCCCAACTGGAGTCCCCAGGGGCATCCACCATTTGGGCCCTGTCTTGGTTTTTCAGACATCTCTGACCTTAGATGAGGGCTGGCGCTTCTTTGGAATGGTTCCCTCCACCACTGATGACCCATTATGAGATTTCCTTAAGGTTTTTCTAACCCACTTAAAGCAACCCCTTTACTCTCTAAATTTAGGCAAGAAATTCACATTAGATTGTACATCAGTTCCTGCATAAATTCCCTTTTATGAATACCTGCCATTCCCCACACAGATCATCTACAACATGCCCAGACCATCTGACTTGTCCTAAACATCCCTCTTTTTAAACAACTAGTCATCTCTTTTCTTTATAATCTTCTTCGCATAGCTAGGTGGTTTCTTTTGTCCTTGGCCAGTCAAGTACAGAAAGAGAAGGATTAAGCATGAAAAAAGAAGGCTCAAGTCACCTGAAATGTATATGAGTTCACTCTGGAGTAACTGTTGCTGCCATTTGTGTCACATGTAGGAAAAGAAGGTTTAAGTGGCCTGAAATGTGAGATTGCCCAGTGCCACTGCCAATTGTGTCACACGTAGAGATCAGGGACTGTAACCAGAAAAGGTAGAAAACAGTCCATCCCTCTTCCAGGTGGGTCAGCTATCTCAGTTCACTCCTTGGCCTACAGGCAACACCAGAGGGTGGCCCTGGCCAGTTTCCCCCAAATACCAAGGAGCTACTAGGAAACAGCTGCTGAAATACTAAAAAAGAAAAAAAAGTAAAAGGACTCAGGTCCCTTACTCGAACCCACTGGTGGCAGTCAAGTGCTTCCACATGGAAACCTTTTAGTTTCTCCAGAGATTCACCCCATCCAGAAACATGCAGTAGTCTCTGTGTTTAGGCACTGCACACCAAGGATCCCAAATTGGAAAGGAAAAGAGAGAGAAAACAAAGACTCCCCTATATGGAGTAGAGAGGAAAAGGGGAAAGGAGAAAAAGAAATCCAAAATCCTATGCAAATAATTACTTAATCTGCCATCAGTCTGATTGGTTATGGAAAAGGACCAAACAGAGGTACTTTCAGTTTTTATTTGCCACACAGAAAAGCAGAGGTTGCAAGGAGAGTAGCCTCTGGTCCTATTGTAACTTGGGCAAGGAAAGTTGGGATTTTTATTTTGATTTAGTTCTAGGAAGTCAGTGTGAATTGGCTTTAGGTTCCCTTTTTCCAGATCCTATTCTCCTCCCTCACAGGGTAATGTTGTCTTTGATTATGATGTATTTTACCAGAAATTATATCATGAGAAAACATCATTTTGTTTTGGGCCATCTGATTACTCATTCATTTATTCATTCATAACTTTCTTAGTAATTCTAGAGCTCACCATAATATCTTAATTTGTGCAATACTGTTGAGTAAAAAAAGGAGCTCTTTTTTGGTGGTGTCACTATTTTTTAACCTTTTAAAATTTTTCTACACTAAAGAATAAAATTGTATACATTTATTGTGTAAAACATTGTAGGCAAGTTTTGGGGTGCAGGGGAGTGCTTAGCTCACTCCCCGATGGGCTCCAGGCTTTTGGTTTCCTGCTCTCAAGAATGGGAGAGGGGCACCACAGTGGGTGCACTTGTAAAGTAAATAGAAGACCCCAAAAGCATTTGCAGAAAATGATTTATTTAGGTAGGGAAAGAGAAAAAGGAGTGGAAGAGAGAAAGCTTCCATGAGAGACTGTGTGGAAGGGGACCCCAGAGGGGAAATCTGCCTGGATGAGGGAGACAGGGACTTTTAACCTGGAAGGAATTCCCACCTTCTCCAATCCCCCCCCCACCCACTAGTGAAAAGAGTTCCTTTAAACTTCCGCTGGAGTGATTGACTTGTGACCTTTTCCCATGCCCACAAAAATTGTTAAATCTCCCGGATGGAGAGAGATGGGAGGGGGCATGGCACTGGGAAGTTTTTGCCCTTAAAACTACGCCCCCTTGTGGACCCAGAAAGAGAACACAGTCCCTCCTTATGATGTTTTATATATACATTGTGAAATGATCAAATTGAGCTAATTAACAAATGCATAACCGCACATTTTTATTATTTCTGTTGAGAACACTTAATGTCTACTCTCAGCATTTTTCAAGATATGATGTATTTGCATTGACTGTAGTCAGCATGTTGTACATTAGATCTCTTGAATTTATTTCTCCTATCTAACTGAAGTCTTTTGACCAACATCTCCCCAGCCCTTCACCCCTCAGCCCCTGCTAAACAGCAGCCTACTGTACTTCTATGAGATAAACGTTTTAGATTCTACATGTAAGTGAGATCATGTGATATTTGTCTTTGTGTGCCTGGTTTATTTCACTTAGCATGATGTCCCCCAGGTTCATCCATGTTGTTAAAAATGACAGAATTTTCTTCTATTTTTATGGCTGAATACTATCCCATTGTGTATATATACCACATTTTGTTTATCCATTCATTGGTTGATGGACACTTAGCTTGATTTTACAACTTGGCTGTTGAGAGTAATGTTGCAATAAACGTGGCCGTGCAGCTCTCTCTTTGACATACTGATTTTCTTTTGTGTATACCCAGTAGTGGGATTACTGAATCATATGCTTGCTTACTTGTGTGATTTTTCACCTTATCCTTTTTCAGTGTTTTTATTTTCATGTTATTGTTTCTCATCCTCTATGACTTTCAAGATAACACATATTTGCATACCTGCCTTTTGCTATTTTTCTCATTGCTTTAACTGTTTTTCTTTCAGTCTATATCCTGAGACTATACTCATTTTTTCCACTATAATTCTGTCTAAATAATTCAATAATCTTTCAACAGTAATTTAATTGAGCCAGGCCTAATTTTAGAATCTGAAAGAGGTTAAGTTAGATGTTCATATACAGAAAACATTTTCTATTCTTATCTTTCCTCTCACAAGATAGATATGCCTCTGAAATAAATCCTGAGTGACTAGTAATGAGCTCCCTGAAGACATAATACTCAATGAAATTGTAAAAACAAATGAAAAAAGGAAGCATCCAACTTATTTACAAGAAAAAGAGTTAGCAGTATGAACATATTGTGAAAATAAAAAAATTATATGCCATTTTACTTACATTTTCATTTATTACTGATTCCAGCGAAGGAAAACATGCCCCTGGCCATTTTAAAAGAAGTAATTAAAAGTTAGTCCTGAACATTATCAAACATAAATAGGAAATTTCAGAAAATAGCTCTTTCCTGAATAAATATTGCTTAAATGATAGAAAATTGTTATATTCTTTTTAGTTGTTGGTGTTAGAACATATTCAATATAATCAAAATAAAAATCTAAAACATCTTCAATTTAAGCAAAATACAAAACTCGTATTTGCTTTTCACTTACAATTTTTGCTTTATAAAAATGTTCTGTTTGGCCAGGCGTGGTGGCTCATGCCTGTAATTTCAGCACTTTGGGAGGCTGAGGCAGGCGGATCACCTGAGATCAGGAGTTTGAGACCAGCCTGGCCAACATGATGAAACCCCATCTTTACTAAAAATAACAAAAATTAGTCAGGCATGACGGTGCACACCTGTAGTCTCAGCTACTTGGGAGGCTGGGATAGGAGAATCACTCAAACCTGGGAAGTAGAGGTTGCAGTGAGCAAAGATCACACCATCGCACTCCAGTCTGGGTGACAGAGTGAGACTCCATCTCAAAAAAGAAAGAAAGAAAAAATGTTCTGTTGATATCAAGAACAGTTTAGATTGTGCATAAAAAATAAAAGGCTGATTTAATAAAATGTACATTCCTTCAACTGATTGCTTAATTTCTCATTAAATGAAATTTCAGAATGCTTATGAAATTCTTACATGGCAAGTATACCAAATTTAAAATAAAAATTACCTTATACAATTTTCAAAATTTCAAAACTGGATGCATTAGTGTTTACTTATTTCACTGAAAGTTTGTTGTTAGGATTTTTGAAATCTTTTGGAAAACTGCAATTTTTTTCTTATAAAGATTATTTTTATGTAACAGAAAGAATGCAATATTACTCAAAGTAAATAAACATACTTTTAAAAAGTTTAATAATACATTACTTTTTTCTCCTATTTAATCCTGTTTCAACTGATTCCTTTCTCTTTTCTTTCAACAGGCTGAGTTAAATGATCCAACAGATCCTTTCACTAGGCACAGTACAAAAATTTCATCAAATGTAAGAGAAGAAGTTTTCTCCAAATATATTGGGTGGAGGATTACCAGCACTCTTTCCAAACTCTTCTTTCCCCCAGTTGATGCCTGTGTTCTTCCTTTGAAGAAATCATCAATAAAACAAGATCAAAAGAAATATCCGGATAAAAAGCCGAAGTCCATGAAAAAGAAATTTCTACATTTTACTGTAAGGTAAAGAGAATTACTTTTAATTTTTCTAATATATTATAATTCAAAAATCACAGAAATTACAGATAATCATGTGGCACATTATTTAACTCAGTTTCTCTTTTTCAACTCAAATTTCAGCTCCATCACCTCCTAGGTAGCCTATCACTGAGGAAGTTCCTCCCTTCTCAGAAACTCTTTCTTCATGTTTATAATGGGTATTATTACATAATACAAATCAATGTCAATGTAAATCTTGTGTGGGAAATACTGACTTAAGGCAGAAACTAAATCATTCAACATTCAAAATTTTAAGACCCTATTTTATGTGTATATACATACATATATGTATACATATTTGATATGTATTTAACATATCTAAGAGTCTTGAATATAGTCTCTTCAAAGAATGCTAGTTATGAGGCTAACTAAATTTTTTTGTTTCAACTCCTCATAAATTTATTTCAAAGGACACCAGGGAACATTGGACTTAGGAGCAATTTATTAAGTGAATAATTTTCAAATTTATTTATCATTTCTTCAACGGTAGATTTGTTTCAGATTCTTAGGGTCCCTGTTACTATTTTAACATACACAGAATGTTAAGATGTTAAAAGTTACTTTTAGACAGATTTTAAAAATAGATGAAAAATTACTCCTGATATATAACACAGGCCTTATTTTACATTGTAGATCTCTTAGTAAAGCTTTAATCGAGATGGAAACTTTTTATTTACTCTTTAACTCAAGTCATTTGAAGAGTATATTGTTATATGTTTTCTACTAATTTTAATAGTCACTATAAAGTCAGTTTTCCTTGTATTTTAAATAATTTTTTATATGTTTGGTGCTCTATTGAGCAATTCATTCCTGATAGACTGTGATCAATTAATAGATTGCACATTGATTTTGATTTTGCCATTCTGGATTTTTTTGTTAATTTTACCTGCTATATATTGTTCTGATTGGCTTTGTCTTTGTATCTTTTTGCAGTCTAATCGAAAAACCTTTGTTCCTAGCTTAGAGGAATATAACTCAGTGAATAAACTTAGCTGGCCTAAATAGTTGCTGAAAATGTATCTGTAAACTTAAACCTAAGTTTTATTCAATTCCTGAATATATACTTTCTTATGTATTTATTTTTATTTTTCACTTAAGTCTTATCAGATATTTTAAATACCTGCTGAATATTTAAAAATATGTTGTATTTGCCTCCACAAATGAGAAATAATTTGGATTAATATGTAAAATCGCTTATCCTTTATAACTTGCCACAGTGTTTTCCTGTGTTTAAAAAGTCTAGTAGGATATGTGACTCTATTTCCTTTGTAGGATCTCCCCACTTTGTTAAGAAAACCTGTACATATTCTCTTTCATACTGTTTCATGAAAAATGCTTCAAAATTCTGTACATTAAAGGTAGAAAGTTAAAGCCTCTTTAGGTGACAGGCCCTTCTTTCCCTGGTTTACCCCCATCATAGGTAACAACATCAGTAATTGCTGTGTTTCCTTTCAAGTTCTATAAAATGTAAATATAATACATTATTAGTATTTTTAATTTTCCCCTTCATTTTAACATGAAAGTTAGCATAGTAAACATAATATTTGGAATATTGCATTTGTCATTTAGGCTCATTTCAGATAAATTTTCCATTTCAATACATGAAGAATTTTCTAATTATTATGTTTTAATCAGACAAATTTTCCTTATTGCAGAGCTTATAACTTGCAGTGAATGCCAAGAGCAAAGTACTCACAGAGCTCCAGCTGAGCAGGGACAGGGAATAGTCTTCCTAGAGAGTCCGCCCCAGCATCTGTCCACCAAGTATTTATTGAAAGGGCTTGTATTAACTACAAACATCCACTAGATGGTCATCTGAGGTGGGTTACTGAGGCACCTGTGACCTTGTACACACTCAAACTGCTTTCTCAGAAGGCTGTTTTTAGCATTCCTTATCACACCACACATTCTACTCCCTGTCCTGTTTTCAGGGTCAAGGAGTTTTATTCCCATGCACAAATAACATACACAGTGCCTCAGTATTTTTCTATGCCCCGACCTCAAATGACATGTACATAAGTCTTAATAAGTTGCCATGCACCCTGCATATCTCCTCCTTCTTTAATTCTTAGAGCATGCTGGCCATCCAAAGCAAGGTAAGCATCTAGTGTTCTTCCCTGGTTGTAGATGCATTGGGTGGCAGCACCGAGTCATGTGCAGATGCCTAGCAAAGAAGAAAGTATAACAGCCATCACCCAAATGTGTATGTTTAACCCAGACAACAAGTGTTTGCGTTTAACCATTGAAAGCCTTTCATAATTGCTGAAAAGTACTTGTTTGTAATTGCTGCGACCATTCTTCAAGTTGATTCTTTAATTCACATGGAAAAGTGGAAATTTGAGAAGACAAATGGTCACGGTAAGCCCCTTGTAGATGTGCTTTTCTGAATAACTGCAAGGTAGAATCTCCCTCCCAGTTCCGGGTTAAATTTACAGGCAGCCACAATTCTGCATGCGATTTTAAAATTATGACATAGGTTATATTTAACTGGGTAACATTTCGATGAAACAAGCACATAGCATACCACCTACTGGAAGAGACTTTAATACTATAAAAGGATAGATTCTGCTCTATATTAGGAATACCTTACAGAAGTATATAGGGGTGGATAATACAAATCAGGACTATATCTGTAACATTATTCTGCAAAAAGAAGATATAGTTGCCGCCACTAATAATGTACTCACCATGTGAAAGAATTTGTTCAAAAAAGAGGTGTACTTATCTCCAAATTTGAGTATGAGCAGGGCTTAAAGCTAGTTTCCATTTTAGTTGTAATATTGGCCCTCAAAGCCCATACTCTGACCAAGTGATAGAACTATTGGAGGGACTCCCAAATCCAATAGTCTGATTTGCAGACATAAGATAACCATGGGGACCCCAATCAAGTAAGGTGCCATTATCATACAGAGGCCCTCTGGATGGCATTGAACTTACATTGTCAGTCCCTACTCAGATGGCATATGGGAAGATCAGGCGCTTATGTAGCTTCATTAAAGACCTTAGTAAGATTAGTAGTAACAGCAGAAATAAAGGTCAAATCTACAAGTTTAGCATCCTTTTGGGCTGATAGTAAAGACACTCCTGAGGAATGAGAGTAACATGCTTAGGTGCTATTCTGGAAAACAAAGAGAGGGATAACTAGACAAGTCAAGGAATCATTAAGTTTAATTCATTTCAAATTTTCAGTTAAGGGGTAAGACAGGGACATCTATTGACCTCCTGTCCAAGAAGTATCATTAGAAGACAAAGGCAGGTCAGCATCCCACCATGTAATAACATTGCAAATGGGGAGTTAGAACATGACTCTAATAAACATGTTCTTGAGCCGATCCCACTTGGCAAAGGACAAGAATTACCAGCCACCCTAACATCCACGTCTATCTTACTTTCTCAGAAGTTTCCCCAATTACTGCCGGATACATAAGAAAGCAGTTCTCTGCAGCTGCATGGCTTCCACGGCAGCAAGCTGGATAGTTTCTTGTTGATCCAATTTCTTTAGCTGTCCTCAAGTAATGTCAGATGCCTTCTGAGTCATCACCGTCATTGCTGGTCGATTCTCCAATGACAAGTTATGTTCTCAAGAAGAGAGCCCCATATTCCCCATTTTTTGTTTGTTAAGATATATTTTAAGAGTTTGATGAGCTCATTTAACAATGGCCTAACCGGTTGAGCTATAGGAAATACCAGTTTTATGTTCTATGTGTTAAAGTTGCAAAACATGTGTAAGTTGAGCACTAAGATAGTAAAGTCCATTATCAGTTTTTATAGAAGACCTAAAGTTATAATAGATCCAAACAAATGAGCAATTGCATCTTTAGTTCAGGGGGTAGCATGTATTAAGCTTGTATAAGTGTCCATGGTAACATGGAGAAATTTGAAATGTTTGAAAGGTGGATACTGAGTAATGTTAGTTTGCTAGACAGCATTAGGCACCAGACGTCGTTGGTTGGCACTAAACTTTAAGGAAAAAGGATAGTGAGAATGCTGTTGTCAATCAGAACTAGTTTTAATAATTATGTGAACTTGAGCAAGTGGTAAATGAAACTGTTGTTTAAGATGGCAGGCATTCTGATGACAAAAGGCATGATCAGCTTGAGCTTGCAAAAAAGCAGAAAAGTCTGCAAAGCACATTTGTGGTCATACCGGAGCATCAGCTTGACCACTCCCTTTCAATAAAGGACCAGGTAACCTAGAATGAGAGCGAATATGTCTGATGTAAAGATGGTGACAATGGACACAGAGGAGCTCTTTTGCTGTAAGAAAAGCTAGTAGAGATTCATTAGTAATGCCTTTCACATGTGCAAGATTTAAATGAGTAATACTATACACCACATAAGCAGAATCACTAACTATATTTATGTCTTGGTGAGGAAAAGTTTGTAAAGCCAACGTTAGGGTAGCTGTCTCCACCTGTTGCATAGTTTTAAAATGTTCCTGGATTTTGTGTTGCCAATTTTGCATGGCAACTTGCCACATTATAGCTGTCTTTTCAGTTTTTTCTGAACCATTTGTAAAGACACTAGTGGCATGAAACAAAGGCTTAGAGACAACAATAGATACAAATTTAACAGGCATAGTTTGTAAAAAGTTTAGGAGCTTAGAGGCTGGTAAATGGAAGCTGGTATTACCAATAAAGTCAGCCATTGCTACTTGCCAATCAAGATCACAAGCTAAGAGAGTATGAACTTGTTCCTTGTCTAATGGTAGGAAGCATAGCAGGGTCATATCCTGATAACTGGATGCAATGTTGATGTTCCTTTATGAGAAGAGAAGCTATTAAATCTGTGGTCTTTTGTATATGTTTAGCGGGGTTATGAGACAGGCACATAATATATAAAATATAGAAATGTCAAAATATAAAGCCTACCTGTTAAACTGAAGCATGGAAGGGATGGATATTTTAAGTGATTTTTACCATATTTTGGCCTTTGAAAGTCATTAGAATGTGACTGCAAGTCGCCAGGATAATAAACCTGCATTGATTTAGCTTAAGTGTGTAAAAAAAAAAATTTTTTTTTTTAATGTCCTTAGGTGCTGGCCATTTTCCTGCATTAGTCTTTAGCTGGAATGTTCTTAGAGGTGAGCTTGGAAAAGTAGGGCGTGACTGGTTTCTTCCCATCTGCTCCAGGCCCTTAGGCAGCCTCTCTTTTTAAAAGTCTGCCACCTGTTGCTGCCCTTATACTACAAGTAGCAGCAGGGGGCCAGAAAATGACCAGGTGGTAAAGTGTGTGTGAAGGTGCGGAGGCAGGAAGCAAGAGGGTAACAGGCTGGGAGAAGACCACTCCCCTCATCCTCCAAGCTACCTACGCTTGAAGCCGACCCTGGAAGGTAAGGTACTGAAAATATACTGCGCTTTTTATTATTTTTACTACCCCCAAGCGGAGAGGCTCAGGGGAGGAGCAGACATGCAGCAAAGGGTCTGCTTTGAAGTTTCCAGCCACAGTGTTTTAAACATTGCATAAAGAAAATGAAACAAACATTCCTTACCGCTGTGTCTATCTTCTGAAGATGACGGCAGCTGTCAGAGCTCCTCCACCTCAGCCTAGTTAGCATTTAACATATGGTTATGGGAGAGCACCCCTTATTAGTGGGCTTCTCCCCCAGAGCTCTGTACTCTAGGCTGCTCCACACCCCTCTGCCCACCTTAGACTAATAAGGTCAGGGACGCACATGGACTGTTTCTTAGCCCTTTCCCTAGGGGGCCGGGAAGACAAGAAATTGTTAACTGGGACATATGAGGGGTGGCAGGGAAGGGCAGAAGTAGGAAAAGCAGCAGGACAGCAAGCAGCAGGCCACTTTCTGGGCACTCTTACTAAGGCACGTGACCATGGTGAGGAGGATTCTCAGGACTGGGCTGGAGCTGCCTGCAGCCACCTGGGGACTTGGTCTGTGCCTCTTGGTCTCCCCTTCATCATCAAAAACCCAAAAAGGGGCAACTTGCCTAGACTATCAGTGACTAAATGGGCACTCCATGGCATTTTAACAACTCTTCCGCCCCAGGCCTCTGTGGGCAGCAAGAAATCCAGAGCTATCTGGGATAAAACTCAGGAGGCAGCATGCAAATTTTTCTTTATACTACTCCAGGGAAACAGAAAAAAGATAAGGCAGAAAGGCTGATGCTGGAAGTAGGAAGTGAGAACTTGCATATTAGGAAGACAATTATAATCAGCCCCTTTCCTTCCCTCCTGGAGGCATTTTCCAGCAGGGAAGTTTGTCAAGGAGACACCAATCATACTGATGTTTACTGACCTGGGCTCTTATCTAAGAACTATCTTCTGGGCGGCCCCCAATTTCCTTAAAGGAGTGGGAGGCGCAGTTGGCTGAACAGGGCCAACAGATACAGGTCCCTTCAAAGGTGGAGGAAAAGAGGGCAATAGCTTTTCTATAGGGTGAGGAAAAGGCTCCAGTCGGTCTTTATCCTCACTAGAAAAAAATCTCTTCCTTATTCCCCATAGAAGAGAATAAAGCGGGTAGAGAAGTCTCCCCTGTTGTTCTGGTTTCTGTTTTTCCTTCTTTAAATCTCCTGAATTCCCTTCAGGTGGAGAAGATGGGAGGTCTGACTCATTGCATTCTGGCAGATAAAGAAAATACAACACAGAGCATACCAGTGCGCAGGTGGTCAAAATAGTAACATTAGTAAAATGACCTTTCTCATTTCCTCTTTTTAGGCAGCGACCTACCTGCTCCCATAACTCTAAATGTAAGGTTCCTTGATCAGGAAATCAAGGGCATTCCTGCCAAATTAAGAGCATAAACTTGTGTAGAGCTCCAGGCTCTACAGTACACTGGATAGCTTTAAGTAGCTGTTGCACTGTTCTAAAAAAAAAAATACTTTCTGCTCTTCGGTCATTTCTTGACCCATGATAACCTAGCCCCTGATATTTTATGCATGTGTCCCATCCTGCTGATGGGAGTCAGGACTGTCCCTTTCCGGGATTCCCCAAAATTTGATGAGCTCATCACCTTCACGTGTAAATTCAAGGCGATTACATTGGGGGCACCAGTTGGAGAGCTTATAGCTTGCAGTGAACGCAAAGAACGAAGTACTCAGACAGTTCCAGCTGAGCAGGGATAGTGGGTAGCTCTTCCAAGAGTCCACCCCAGCATCTGTCCACCAGGTATTTATTGAAAGGGATTGTATTAACTACAAACATGCACTAGATGGTCATTTGAGGTGGGTTACTGAGGCACCTGTGACCTTGTACACACTCAAACTGCATTCTCAGGAGGCTGTTTTTAGCATTCCTTATCACATCACACACTCCACTCTCCTGTTTTCAGGGTCAAGGAGTTTCATTCCTGTGCACAAATAGCATAAACCTTGCCTCAGTATTTTCCCATGCTCCGACCTCAAATGCCATGTACATAAGCTTGAATATGTTGCTGTGTGTTCCCCACACTTATTATGAATATATCATCATTTATTTAAGCAGTTTTCTATTGGGTGGCAATTGGGTTGTTTTAGATTTCCTGTGTACTAGAAACAATGCCACAAAGAGTAACCATGTACATATGTCTTTTAACACACGTGGAAGAATACCTGTAGGATAAATTCTCAGAAGTGTAATTTCTGGGTCAAAGTGTGTATGCCTTTGTAATGTTATTACATATTTCCCAATGCCTTGCAGAGGAGTTGCGCAAATTTATATCCCCACCAGCAATATATAAGAGTGCCTGTTCTTTTTTAGTCTTCCCAATGAAAGTGTTAAACATTTGGGTTTCTAAATATGGTGTCATCTTTAGCATTTAATTTTCTTAAGTAGTTTGGACACCTTTTATATGTTAATAGAGCCTTTTTGTTCTTCTTTATTTGGAAATTATCACTTTTTATTGGATTTTTGTCTATACAAAAACTCAGGACTATATTAGTCTATGTGACTGTCTATGGTAAGAGCTACCAATGTTTATTTTTTCTTATCATTTTTTATCTTTTAATTTTGATTATAGCATTTTTTGGCCATATAGTCATTTTTCTATGTTTTATAGAATGTATTTGTTAATTTTCTCTGTGGCTTATTTTTTTGTTCTATTTTTGTTCTCTGTAGATTATTTTGTTCTATTTAGGATAACAGTTTTCACCCTAAGTTTAAAAGTGACAAAATTTGACATAATGTGACAAACATTATCTTTTACTATTGTTAAGTATTCATTATGTACATTGTAAGTATTAGTCCATTTGATTTTTTTTTTTTTTTTGGTGTATGGTGTGAGGTGTAGTTCCATCTGCCTATTCAGTTGTCCCAAAAATATTGAGTCATCCATCTCCCTTTAACACTTTTC